CCCCGCAAGCAGAAGATACACAGCTGAAAAATACAAAGCAATGTTTTTATTGGCTGCCCTGCACCAAAGGTGACACAGCTGGGCCCTGTCAGAGCTGGGCCTCGGGTCCTTGGCACCGCTGCAGCTGACCCATGGGGCAGGGCAGCTGCCAGCAGAGGCTACAGGGTGGGAGGGCTTCAGGTCCTGGTAAGGACCTGTTTGGGCAGCAGGAAAGAGAAGCTACAGGCTGATGAGTGTTTTGTTGCAAATGCTGGGGTGAGACACTGGTAGCATTGCTGCGGACACCTGAAGCCTAAAAGCAGCACAGGAAAGATGTGAGAATCGGCTCCTGCTTCTGTCCGACCTCCTGAAACATTCCCATTCGGAAAACAGGTTGCCAGTTGGGCAGTTGTGCCAGCTGAATGGAGAATGGCTCTCTCTGTGGCTCTCAGAATCTGAGGTGCCCTGCAGCACATGGCACTAGTGACAGCATTAGCTGCTTAATTAATGATAGTCAGGGTCAGTGTTGAATATGCCTAAGAAAACACTGTTCTTTTCTGCCTTTCCTCCTCCCCGCCCCCATTTTTGCCCCCATTTAAATGACTTTCAAGACCACAAGAGCTTTTCTGCCAACCATGATGAAAAACAACCACGGTCACATTGTCACGGTGGCTTCGGCAGCAGGTCATTTTGTGACTTCTTTCATGGTGGCTTATTGGTAAGTAATTTTAAAGTCAGCTCTCTTCAATTGTTGTTTTCAATCGCGTCTTCTCCATTGGAAAGCAGAGAGTAACCAAAATCATCCCCCCACTGAATCCGGTCCATCCAAAGGACAGTGCTAAGGAGGAAGAAAGCACGGCAGCCGTCACCTAAAGATGCCTGGAAGTTCCCGCCGATTTGCTTAGTGCCTCTGGCTGAATTGGGGGCGATGCGTGTAGGAGGGAAGAGTCACGTGACACATCAACTGACAACAGCTTCTCCTTTTTTCTCTTCCTTGCTGATCCAGACTTTTGCTTAGCAGAAAAGGTATCCTCTTCCCTTCTCCTCCTTAGAAGGTAGCACTCCTGTGAGATGTGGTAGTGTTGTCAAGTGAACCCCTAATGAGTAGCTTTTGATCTTTCTGCCATTGTGGCAGTGTTTAGAGATACTTCTGCCATCACGAGATGACATTGCGCTTGAATCACAGTGCATGAACAGAAAAACTGTCAGGTTGCATGTTGTCATTCTGTGTCACACCTAGTCCTCTGCAACAGCAGCTCCAGGCAGGGCAGTCTTCCCCTGGGAACACTCCTTCTTAGAGAGTCACTCACTGCTGGCAAGGTGACAGCTCCCCAGCCAGGGGTTTTACTCCAGTTACAGTGTCCAAATCAACAGCAGTCAACAAACTGATTCTCTGGTTCTGCTTTCTTTTGGAGTTGACTTACACTCTGTGGCAGCACGTTCCTCAACTGCTGCGTGCATAATGCTCCTCTATTTCAAAACTCACACGCGAGCGTCACGAGACGCTCCTGTGTGCTATGAGGAACCATAGAGGGTTATTCTCCATTTGTACTCTGCCCATCCTTCTTAATTTTAGAGAATCAGGCTGCAGTCCTCCTAAGACTCTTCTCACATGGGGAAAAAGGGAGGTCCATCGATTGATGCACATTGGTTACCGTTTTCCACGAATTCCTGGCGTTCATCTGTCTGTTTGCAACTAAGGCAACTTTTTCTGAAAGACACCCACTCTGCATTCCACAGTGACTCCCCCAGGCAGCAATATCTAATGCAGCACTACACTCTGGCACAGGGAAAGCCAGAATTATTCCCTGCCTTGTCTCTCAGCTGGATTACAATTTTTGGTTTGCCTCCTAGTCAGAACTGTGTGATCTTTTAGGCCACTTCCCCTTACAGAAAGTTAGAAATAGTACTTCTGCCATCTCATTTGTGCTTTTCCCCCTCCCGCAGTTCAAGCAAGTTTGCTGCAGTTGGATTTCATAAAGCTCTGACAGAGGAGCTGTCTAGCCTGGGAAAGGATGGAATAAAAACTACGTGTCTTTGTCCGGTTTTCATAAACACTGGATTTGTCAAAAACCCCAGGACAAGGTAAGTATCAAAACTCTGCCTTCCCGTCCTTCCTTCTTTGCTTCAAGACACTGCATATTAGCCCCAGCTTTAGGCCGTGTATTCCAGCTGACTCTATAAAAACAGCATATCCAGTTGGCTAAAGAAAATCTGCAGTGTCATTTAACCCACATAATGGTTGCATTTGAATTACCTGAGTTTGTGCATATGTGAAGCATCCTATATGAGCTAGTATCACTCTTGTTTTACCACTGTAGCTCTTACATGTATGCTTTCCTGTGTAGGCTTGGAAAGATTTTGGAGACTGAAGAGGTTGTAGAGGCCCTGATGGAAGGAATACTGACCAACCAGAAAATGATTTTTGTTCCATCACAGCTAAGTATTGCTTTACTTTCTGAATGGTAAGTAGCAAACAAGAAAAAAAAAAGGGGAGGGAAAAACATGTCAATGCTAACTACCTGAGTATACAAGCATCGGACTTGTAACATCTAATTCAAGATTAAGTTTTAATTTAACAGTAATTGTATTTTGCACTCATGGTAGTAAAGGATATGGTTTGGCAGTGTAGAGAAGCCCTGTAATGACAGCTGGACAGCAGAAATTCACATTCAACCCAGTTTCATTTATCTTCAGTTTTTGACATCACTATACTCAGTTATTTACCAGTCCAGATCTGACATCAGTATGCTTGTACTAACTAGATAACGTGTAACTACCTACAGGAGAGACTATCATTTTTTAAACAACCACCCATCTGAGACATTTTAGTAGGAGAACACGTAACAAGGTAATGAAATAGCAGTGGTTCTTTCTAATGACAACAGCAGACAGCACACACAGAGATTTTTTTTTTTTTTTTTTGAGCCTTTTCATAAGTCCTTGTGACCCACTTTCTGCAGCCAGCTGTTCTCAGTGGACAACTCAGCCGCTCTACAGCCTGATAGTGAGGGAGAGGGAGAACAAGAGATTACTTTTTCGTCACAGATCTCCATTTGCTTTGGCCTTGCGAACAACAGTTTCTGTGAACCAGCAGCCCCAGTGTAGTTCCAGAAAGAGCTGGGGACCTGCTGCTTATCAGTGTTTGTTTCTTCATGTCAACACCAAAGGCTGAGGTCACTGAGGCTGGGAAAATTGCTTTCAGATGTCTCTATTGCTTAGCTCTCTGCCATGTAAAGCAAGATTTGTCCTCCCACACTTCTTTAATATGCAACGTAGCTGCTCTGCTGAGGAGGTGTTTTCCCCCAAACTCAGGTTCCAAATCTGGAATTCACATCTGAACAACTAAGTTAAATTCTCAGTTAACTTCAGCAGTATTTCATGAAACTCTTGGTAATACCTTGTTTGCAAAACCCAACACGAGGCAATTGGAAACAGCTTTTAAGTGTTTTTCTGCATCTCTAAGAGCTGAATGCTGATAGTGCAAGTCTGCAGAAGCATAGACAAGTCAAACCTAATGCTGTCAATTCTCTGAGGATAACTTTGCTTTTTTGTCTTAATTTGGGGCAGGGGGGCATAAAGAGACATGACTCATAAGAGAAGAAATCCTAGGAGAGGAAACTGCACCTCAGTTTTAACATTTCATCCTTCCATAGGCCTGCTGCTTTTCAGAGCATAACACACTCGATATGCACCTATCACTGTTCAATATTAAATTTTCTTGGATTCTACAACAATATTGCAACCCATATACTGCCCAGTAGATGCCTGGCCTTGGATAACGCTCCCGGACCAGCTCTTCCCTCACCTGCAGTGCCGCTTTTGCCCATAACTTAAGTTCCTTATCCCACATTTAACTTCATGTTACTATCTCTTTCAGGTTGTTTCCAGAACGTGCCTTGGATTTTCTGAAAAAGCTGACCGATGCCAAGTTTGACGCAGTTGTTGGGCAGAGAGGCACTCAGTGAAAAGCAAAAAATGCTTCTGCCTTCCCAGTGGCATGAGTGAAAACAATGTGTGCTGAGCGTAGTTCAGCTGCTTTGATTTGGAGCAGAACTGAGATGCTTCCAGGCCACCACTTCCAAGCACACCTAAGGGCTTATCCCACACCTGCAGCAGGGACACACCTGCATAACATGGAGTGTTCACAAATCAGAGGTGCAGCTCTACAAGTCTGAAGGGCTGCTTTGGCTGTAGATCTCATCCCCTCTATCCCCTAGTGCTGAGGCAGACAGGAATTCCCACAAAGCCTGTCTGTGGCACAGCACAGCTGCCTGCCTGAGTGCAAGGGGACTGCCTGAGAATATGTCAATCTGGACTCATCCCTGAGCAAAAGTATCTGGCAAGAAGGAATTTACAGAGCAGGTGGGTGGCCTGTTTCACCTCCATTTATCCTTGTAAATTTTAAAAAATGTGCTCTAAAAAAGACTCACAGTTTCATGTGCTTTTGTAGTGAGTACCTGAAATAATACAGCCTTGTTTGTAATGTAATGCCTAATTACATCAATTATCAATTATGCATTAGCACCATCAACACTCCTGATTCCAAATAAATACAGTTCTGTAACCCAACGGTGTCTCTCGACAATGAAATTGGTAACCAGGTCTGATCAAGGACAGCAGAGCAGGTGCCAC